AACATCTTCAGAAGATGTTACCTAGCTGGGTAACGAAACGTTTGCAAGAAAGCAACCAAGCTCAGAGAACCTCAAGGACTCCACAGTTCAGCCCTGAGCTACACATATTCTCTTCTGTTGTTCTATTTCCTTGATGACTTGTATGAAAGGTTGCTTTGGGAAGGCACCTCTAGGTCATTACAGAATGTTATTTTTGTTGCTTTGCTGTCCTTCTTTGCCAGTCTGTTTTCTCCGAAGCAAATTCTAAATCTCCACATTCAGTTCTAATAAATACTCCATGCAGAGAGCTGATCTGAGTCCTTTATTTAATGGTGTGATGTATTCCTCAACGATGTATTTGTTTGTTCTTTGGTACCAAAGACGTCTGAGAGACCCTTTCTCCACAAATGACACGCACGCATGTCATCTGGGCAGTGCTGAGATGCCATAAACTTGTCCTTGTTACTCTTCAATCGGCACAATGCTTGGATGATGCTACAAAACACTCTAGGTCACAAAGGACAGTCCAGCCAAAGATGGAAGATTAGGTCTTGTGTTGCTGCACATAACAGACTTGCCCTTCCCAACCTGGCACTCTCCAGATGTGCTAGGACTGGTAATGGCCATGTTGCCTGAGAATCCAGGAGGCTGCAGTCCCCAGACTTAGCGCTGGGCACCAAGTTGGGTAAGGCTGGAGTAGACCATGGGTTCCCAGAAAGGTTTGGATGTCCAGAGACTGAATCCAGGCCTGCTGGAGACGTTTTCATTTGGAACAGGAGGTAGAATTTCATAGCGCCCTTGGCACTGTTCCAGCACCGCTTCTCTTGTAGCTGCTGTGGGAGGACATACTCGTGAATGAGAAAACGGTGCGCAGCCTGGAGAAAGTCTCCGAGCATTAGAAAGTATTTAAACTGAGGACACACGCAATTTTATTTTTGACTTCTGTGCAGCTGTGGAAATGACGGCTTACCTCCCAACCCTATTTCCCTCCCAAGGATCTGGCTGCGCGGTGCAGGGCTGGGGGATCTGCGTTGCTGAGCTACGACTCTCAGCACCCCACATCGGCGACCCCGCTGCCGAAAGTTGCCATTGATCCACAGGGACACCGATTCAAGTCTCTCCCTCTGGGGGCATTTCATTCATTTTTGCCTGCAGAAGCACTTTTAAAAAAGGCACTTTTCTTCCCCGGATTCAAGCCACGAAGAAGATCCGCAGCTGCGCAACCGAACTGTCGCTCGGCTTGGACTAGAAGCGCTCCTGGCCGCGGGCGTCCCCCGAGAAGCCGCGTTCGCGCGCTCGGCGCCCCG